TTATTTGTCAGTCACTATTGGACCTTATCCCACCTACTAGGCAGAGTCAAAGTTCTGCCTGGGTCTTATGAGCTGTAACCCATATGTGGTCATTGGCCACTGTTATGGAATATGTGCCATGTGTGGGGCATGAGTCTTCACTGCTACCAAGAACTGCCCTTTGCCTGGGGTTCAGCTCCCCAGGCAAGTCACAGGGTCACCACTCCCCGGAATGCTGCTGACTGTCTCTACCCGGCTTCCTCTTAATACCCCTTGTGTGTATGTTTTTAGTTCCAAAGAAAACATTTGTCTCATCTAGATATACTTTTTTTTTTTTTTTTGAAGTGAGAGACTATTTTATTAAAAATAAATCGGAGAAAAAAATCATTGTCTTTTTTTTTTTTTTTAATTATACTTAAAGTTCTGGGTTGCATGTGCAGAACATGTAGTTTTGTTACATATAGATATTCTTAAGAGATCTCTTTCCCACATGTACCTCCATCCCTAAGCCTTACACATCTCCTTGCTGAATACAGTCTTTTCTAAGACCTGTGATCTCCAAATAACTTCTAGTTTTCTTACAGAAAAAATACCTGAGTCAAGGAAATACTACCTTAAGTAACCCACTTTAAATAGCACAGGAAACAGAGAAGAACGAATGTTTAAGTTAATATCTTAATAAACAGCTGCACCACATTCAGAACAACTGGGGCATGAGGTTGGTGAGATAGAATGGTGGGTGCTCAGACTGGACACTTTTTGGGGTTTTGGCGATGGGGAGTGGTGTGGGGCGTCTTCCATTGACTTCAGTGACTCTCCTCACTAAGATCATACAAGCCTATATTTCAGTCTCGGTTCCAACTTTCTGACCCTTTTTATCATTTACAAACTTGCCTCTGTGCCTGTCTTTCCCTCTTCCTTGTTCCGAGCAAGAGTTGGCTCTCCTTTCATTTACAGCCAGTCAACGTTGCCCCTAGATCCTGTCACCTACTGTGTCTTGTGGGATGCTGCCTCAGCACCTACTTCTAAGGTGCTGATATTTTCATCCTCTCTACTGACTTCTCAGCTAATGACATGCTCACATCTATCCTGTCTGAATACAAAATCAGCACATGAAAAGCCCTTCTTTTCACCTTCCAACTCTTTCTAGCTCCTTCCTTCTCCATTCTTCACAACATCCCTGATTGCGCCACACTGGCTTCTGCCTCCAGGGCTCAGGAGTGCCTGAGAAACAGCCTGTTCAGTGTCAGTCATGGAGACAAATGGGCTCTGCCACTGACCGTATATTCTCCTGGAGAAATATACTGTAAGCTTTTCTAAGTCCCATATTCTTAATGTAAAAAATGATAACAGTGAGGACAACCTTGAAATACTATTGTCAGGATTCAAAAACAAAGTAAGTACATCTTTTCGTCACAGTCCTTATATATAATACATAGGAAAGATCTGGAAGTATTATTATTTTTCTCAAATATTGCACCCTTAGCCTGAAGTCCGATCCTCTCCCTCTTCCATCCTTCCAGTTTTCTTGGGAAATTTCTGCTCATCTATTTCTACTGTCATCTGTGCTGGTACCTGCTGTCACCTCCTTCCCTACCTTTCCCCTTGTCTGATGTGCCCCCACTACTCTCTCATGATACCTAAGAAATTGTCTTACAGTTATTTGAATTTTTGTCTCCCTCTCAGTACTGCTTTGCGAGTTCTTGGAGAACAGGAACTGGGGTATAAATCTTATATCCCGTGCCTTTGTTGTGTTGTTGTGAGCACTCAAATGCTTGTTGAATTTAATTGTATTTCACAAACTTTTATAGTGCTTACTATGTTCTAAACACTTTAGAGATATTAACTTTGTAGGCCGGGTGCAGTGGCTAGAATCCCAGCACTTTGGGAGGCCAAGGCAGGCAGATCACGAGGTCAGATCAAGACCATCCTGACTAACACGGTGAAACCCCATCTCTACTAAAAATACAAAAAATTAGCGAGACCTGGTGGTGGGTGCCTGTAATCCCAGCTACTCGGGAGGCTGAGGCAGGAGAATGGCCTGAACCTGGGAGGCGGAGGTTGCAGTGAGCCGAGATCGTATCACTGCACTCCAGCCTGGGCAACAGAGCGAGACTCTGTCTCAAAAAAATTTAAAAAAAAAAGATATTAATTTCGTAATCTTTACAACGAAACTATGATGCGGATACTAATATCTTCATTCTACAGATGAAGAAACTGAGGCACAAGGAGGTAAATTTGCCCAAGGCCACGTAACACAAGTAAATAGGGGAGTTGACATTTGAACAAGGTCAGTCTCCCTCATCTACTTTGTGTTTATGACTATCTACCCTGGCTTAATATTATTATATATTCCTTGCCTGCTTGAAGGATTGTAATGAAAGTATGATATGAATGAACTTTGTAGACTGCAAAATATTGAATGAATAAAGAAAAAGTGTTATATAAATACAAGTCATGACAACTAAAAAGAGAGCATTATAAACATAACACTTTATAGAAATTTGATGATCATCATCAAAATACTCTTTTAAACCCTGATTTTTGTATCACTGAAAAGAGAGACTGCTATTCTTATATGCTTTTCAAAGGTAAGCAAAAACTGAAAAACAGTTTAACATATGTCACCTCTGGAGTATGGTCCCACAGTCATTTTTCTGCAAGGATCGATTCTACTTGAGAACAGCTGTTTAGAGCAGATGAAGTTCCTAAAATGGCCCTGGAGAGAAAAAAGCAAACGGGCAGCTGCTTGACCTTTTTCCAAATGAAAAAAAAAACAAACCCTGATCAGTTGGTCTTGATTGGCGTGTTCAGAGTCAAGGAGCTTTAGATCTGTTTTTATAACAAATCACTCGTGATGATTACTCACTGCTCACTAACATTGTATCACAGATCTTCTGGTGGGTCTGATGCGTATTTCCATTTTAACCCCATTAACACAGGCAGCTTGGACAGCATATGCCCTCTCAGTGGTGACCTGTAGGGAAAAGCAATAGAAAGTGTTTCTGCAGATTGCCTGTGTCAGAATTACCTGGAAGGGTTGAACCAAGCAGGTTAATGGGATCAAACTTAAAACTACCAATTCATAACCTTTGGGAGAGGATTCTAAGATGTTGCATTGAGAGCAAGCATCCCCAGGATGAGTCTTAGGAATACGGGGACTGGGTATCATGGAGGGGAGACACTGGCCTCTTACAGCATCATTCTAGAACTTAAGTTGACCTTTCCCAAAAGAATTCCAGATTTTCTTTCTTCTGCTGGTTATGATCAATTAATTGACGCTTACTATTGCGCAGGGAATGGAGATTGAGTTGCAGCTGAACATAAAGATATTCCTAAGTCTGTTTTGGCTCAGTTTACGTTAGTGATTTCAATTCTGTTCCCTGTGCCTTTAGGAAGAAAAAAAGAAATGAATTTTCTGGATGACCAACATTTGAATTGCTTGAGAGTGATAAAAATAAGCCCCACAGAGTAGCATTTAAAGAGATGATATATTAGGGCTTTAGTCAACACCTGAATAATGATGGCTGCCCCCTAGAAAAAAATTTTTTTTTAACTTTGTAACAGCTGCTTAATATAGCAGGGAAATGTTTCTGTTTTAAGCCCTGTTAGGAGGTGCTGGTGCAGACAAGTGTGTCCTCTTTGACATCTTGGAACAATTTTTTATGTCATTCATCACACCAACATAACCATGATTTGAAAATGCTATCAGTAGCTAGTCTCTCATAATCACATAACACCCGTGCTGCCGCCAGAGCATACCAGTAACTATAAGCCAAGGAGCACTTGTAGAAGGTGTTTAGAGTCCATTTACTTGTCTAAGAACACATATAAATTATAATTATTGTCTAGTAGATATATTGTATGCAATGCTACAAGTCAAGTCTGACGCTAACCACTCAGAGTTAGCACTGACTCCACAGGTTAAGGACGCAACCCCCAACAAGATTGCACTGACTTCAGATGCCGGCTGCCAGTTCAGGTTCCTTAGGCCGCTTTCACCTCTCACCAACTGAATACAGATTCGGAAGGGGATTTCCCATGACCCTCTCAGGTTAGATAATTCACTACAACAATTCACAAAATCTGGTAAAGTATGGTATTTAGGATTATAGTTCTATTATTAGGGATACGATTCAGAAGCAGCCAAATGAAGAGACACATAAAGGCGGGAGCCGTGGCTCATGCCTGTAATCCCAGCACTTTGAGAGGCCGAGGTGGGTGGATCACGTGGTCAGGAGATCCAGACCGTCCTGGCTAACACAGTGAAACCCCGTCTCTACCAAAAATACAAAAACATTAGCTGAGCGTGGTGGCGGGTGCCTGTAGTCCCAGCTACTCAGGAGGCTGAGGCAGGAGAATGGTGTGAACCCAGGAGGTGGAGCTTGCAGTGAGCCAAGGTCACATCACTGCACTCCAGCCTGGGTGACAGAGCAAGGCTCTGTCTCAAAAAAAAAAAAAAAAAAAAAAAAAAGAGAGGCACATAGAGTGAGGTCTCTAAGAGTTTCAAATACTGAGCTTTTATGCCCTCTCCCCATCAGAGCATGTCACCCTTCTGGCACATTGATACGGTCCCCAGACAAGGAAGCTCGCCAGAGCCTCAAGATCCAAAGTTTTTATTAGGGTTTTGTTACATAGGCATGACTGATTGAGTCATTGGCCACATGAACAAAGTCAACCTCCAACTTACCTCTCCTTCTGACCCATGGCTCAAAGTTTCAACCCTCTAATTACATGTTTGATCTTTCTGGCAGGACTAGCCGCCATCCAGAGACACCTCCTTAACTCAAACTCAGGTGTGGTTCATGGGCCCAGCATGAATCACAGACACTCTGATGATCTGGGAAGTTTCAAAGGTTTAGAACCTCCATCCCGGAAGCCCAGGACAAAGACCAAATTCTTTGTTGTATAACACTGTAATTCTCAGAGGATGATATTTCATATTAAATAAGTCTTATCTATTGGGACCTTGTACAGTGTTGAGGAGGAATGAATCTTAGAAACGATTTAGTCTAGCTTCCTGCGCTGCTTCTCTCTTTCGCTCAGGCCGGTGGTGCCGACAGGATGGGCAAGTGTCGTGGACTTCGTACTGCTAGGAAGCTCCGCAGTCACCGACGAGACCAGAAGTGGCATGATAAACAGTACAAGAAAGCCCGTTTGGGCACAGCCCTGAAGGCCAACCCTTTTGGAGGTGCTTCTCATGCAAAAGGAATCGTCCTGGAAAAAGTAGGAGTTGAAGCCAAACAGCCAAATTCTGCCATTAGGAAGTGTGTCAGGGTGCAGCTGATCAAGAATGGCAAGAAAACCACAGCCTTTGTACCCAACGACGGTTGCTTGAACTTTATTGAGGACAACAATGACGTTCTGGTTGCTGGATTTGGTCGCAAAGGTCATGCTGTTGGTGATATTCCTGGAGTCCGCTTTAAGGTTGTCAAAGTAGCCAATGTGTCTCTTCTGGCCCTATACAAAGGCAAGAAGGAAAGACCAAGATCATAAATTTTAATGGTGAAAACACTGTAGTAATAAATTTTCTTATGCCAAAAAAAAAAAAAAAAAAAAAAAGAAAATAATTTAGTCTAAACCTCCCCCCTGACAGGTGAGGAAACTGAGGTCCAGAGGTGAAGGGAATCTCCCAAGTTAGTTACAGCAGAGGTGGAGCTGGAGTCAGAGTTAGGTTTAGGTTTTCTTATCTCAAGACCTCAGATTTGGGACCTGCATGGAAATTTTCATGCAGAATTTACATGGCAAACAATGGGGATTGGAGAAAATGTGCACAACTGTGTGTGCACAAGCTGTATGTGTTCCGGGGCTTATAGCAGATAATATTGGGTGTCTGCTGTTTAGCTTGCTTGTACCAGGGCTGCCATATGGTTAATGAGGGCTCTTTAAACCACTGCTGGGGAAATTACTGAAACATAAAACTTCAGATGTGTGTCACCATTTCTCCTGGTCTAAGGAAACCTATTATAAAAGAGAAATCAAGAGCCTGGATTCTGTCTGACTCAGTCAACTCACGAGAAAATGATGGGCAAACCATTCTACCTGCCACTGTCTCAACTTCTCCATCTTTATAAAAAGGTGGGCAGAGAAGAATGGTATCACAATGTGACACTATGGAATATCTATGAAACATGGTGTGTGTGTTTTTTTCTTGGGGCACAAATTATTAAAAATGCAAAAAAAAAAATGCAGTCATCCTATGGTGACCCTCACTATGTTCTCTTTCCTCCTCTTCTGCACAGAGGGGTTGGCTGACTAGATGATTTTTATGGCCCCAGCCAGCTTCTAGAGTAAATATCTGGGTGGGGAGGTCATCATTGCTCCCTGTATGCCCATCTGTAAAGCAAGAATAAAGATATTTCCTTTAAAAAAGGAGGATTTGGGTGATACTTGGGAAAGGAAAAAGTAGAAAACTTAAAAAAACAACTTCCAGTTAGCTGACTTTTTCTCTTTTATGCTCTTTCTTTATTCATTTCTAAATCCCTCTGGTCACAGGGATTTTTAAAGGTTGGTAGAGACAAGACAGAGGCCTCTACTGACTCCAGCTGAGCTCTTTGTCTTCTCCTCAGTCACTCCCTTCTCTCTGTTTTTCTCACCTTGCCAAATGACACCACAATCTACATAGGCACTCAGAGTGGGAACTTAGTCATTCCTAAGGCAGCCCTTTCCTCACCCAGTCTGACTTTATGTCACCCCTTTTAGCATCTCTAGTTTACATTGTTATATCCCTTTGGTTCTACTGTCTCAGTTCACACTCCTCACCTCTTATCTTCTGCAGTGGAGGCCTCCCTTAACTGGCCTCCCTTATTCTGACCCTTTATCATTTATAAGAAGACATTAATTCTATGATCTGTATTATGTTGAGCCAGGTGGCTTACAGTCAGAAACAGTATTGAATAGATAAAATGTTTACAAGTATATTCTTGAGCTGCCTATATTATTGAACAACTGAATAACCTGAAGACTTGTTCAGCTGAGCCCAGCACAGGCCCTTACTAAATGTCTTCATGTAAATACATTATTTAGTCTCATTTAAAGTAGCTTCCAAGTATTCCTGTTCTGTGATCTTGGAAGTTCATGAGCCTGGGCTTTATGGGTAGGGACACTTTTATTTATTATTATGCGTCTAGTATCTAATGACCTGGCAAATAGTAAGTGCTTAAGTTCTTGTGGACAGAATGAATGCAAGAATATACTTCCTAATGGACTTGGGAGCTAGGAGGACCCTCAGAGAAAACTTAATAGAATGTATTCATTTATAAATACAGATGCTATGGTTAAAAGAGAGGAAGCAAGTCACATTGCGCACCAGCGCTTGTCTGGCTGGGCTGTTCTTATGCCTCTCACGTTTCCTATTGGGTTTCCTGCTGTGCAGTCTTTTTCATTGCGGAGAGTTTTCTTCTGTCCGCATCAGACCTCACCTCACAGTCTGCCCTCTTTGGCTTTCACCATTGATGACCTGAATAACCCCTGCAATAACTCCTTTCTTCATAACCTCCCCCCACCACCACCTCCCAACCAAAGGCCACCACCACCTGCTTTTCTGCCTGAGTCCATTGCACTTATAGCTCCTCCAGCTCCTTGAACCTCTTCTCCCTGTGTCCTGGGCATAGTCCCTTGTCCCCTTTGCCCCATTTCCTTCAGCAGCCGTCATCTTGTTTTTCACCTGGTTATGGCATTAATCTTCTACTCACTCCCCACTTTTTCTAGTTCTTTGTTCAGAATAAGTTTTGGAACAGTGGTGTTCACTTCCAGATTTTTCTGAGGACCCAACAGAATTCCTCCCTTGACCCTACTGTATCTGTTTCTGACTTTTATAAACTGCTTTCTTCACATTGAGGCCATGTGAAACATAGGATAAGCTATTTTTTCCATTAAAGGAAAAAAAAGCCCTTAGTATAGAAATCTTCCATCAACATGGGAGCCAAAGAAAATGTTTGTCTTTGTTATTTCCATCTTTTAAAATGCAATGTTTTACCATCAGGCATGCACCTGGTGGCAGGGAGTAGAAGAAAGGATTTTATGCTCCCCCAACTCAGGAAGAATTACTCTCTCCTACCCTGCCCCTGAAATATGAAGTCCTCGGCTCCCAGGTCTGAAGCCCTATGGCCTGGTTAGCTGGCTCCCTTGATAATGTGCAGTTGTATGGAGAAGCCACAAAAAGCAGCCATCATGATTTAGAAGCTTTAGAATAATAAGGTGTTTGACCTTTGGGTGTGATCCCTGATTGGTAGTGGTGGGCAGGATCTGGGGTCTCCCTGTATGAGAAGATGAATCTAGATGTCTATCAATGATTTTTTTTTTTTTTTTGGTTGGCAGGCTGGGGTAGGGGACAGTGAGGAGAAAGGGTCCGGCTCTGTTGCCCAGGTTGGAGTGCAATGGCACAATCATGGCTCACCATAGCCTCAAACTCCAGGGCTCCAGTCATCCTCCCACCTCCCACCTCCTGAGTAGCTGGAATTACAGGCATGACCACCACACCTGGCTAATGTTTGTATTCTTTGTAGAGATGGGCTTTTGCCATGTTGTCCAGGCTGGTCTTAAACTCCTGACCTCAAGTGATCCACCTACCTGGACTGCCAAAGTGCTGAGATTACAGGCTTAAGCCACCGTGCCTGGCTAGATGGCTTTGTGATCTGAAGTTGGAGCAGAACTGCTTATCTTTTGTGTCAACTCCGCATTTTCTGCCTATCTTCCTGTACCTCACTTTGTACATTATTGCATCCCAGACTTACCCTGCTGTTTCCATTTCCCATCTAAATATGACCTTCCATGCCTCCTCTATTTGCTGCATACCCTTACTCCACCAAGGAGCTTCTCACTATCTACTCATTTCTTTTTTGTTTAAAATACTTACTATTCTCCAAAGCTGGGATCCAGAGCAGAGATTCTCAAAAGTATGGCCCCCAAATCTGCACTGTTAACCTCATGAGGGAACTTGTTAAGAATGAGAATTCTTGGGCCTCACCCACATACTCCCTGAACCAGAAACTCTGGAGTAGGCCCAGCAAGGTCTTCAGGGGACTCTGAAGCATATTAAAGATGGAGACCCACTGCTCTGGAGTGAATTCCAGGTCTTCCACATTTCCCAGTGAGCACTGTCTAAGCACCCATTGAAATGGACCTTATGAAAGATAAGCTGGGCCTGGACTGGCTCGCAGGAAGGCCCTGGATTCTGTACCACGCCATGCACTGACCCTATTTTTCTTTATCCCATAAATGTTTATGGAGATCTTCTTATTAAATGCAAGGGAATATGGTGGGCTTCAGGGAAATTGCAGAAACAACTTAGCTATGAATTTTGCACGTATATAAGCTGTGGGGAAAGGAGGGAGGTTGAAGGTATATAAACAACTACCAGGCAAAAACTGTCAAATCATCTATGAGAAACTGAGAAAGTTGAGTGGAGGGAGAAATTGTTTCTTGGTTAGGGCATAAGGACATGAACGAATTTGAGTCTTTCAACGACAGTCATGAAATGCAGGTGGAAGAGCTGAGAAGGGGATCCCCACTGACCTCCAAAAAGTTCACAGTCGGGGAGAAAGAAGTGACAGTAATGGTGGCTCTCGGTGCGAGAAGCAGACCAGGATGGTGGTTTACAAGCATGAGCTCTGCAACCAGCTTGGTTTCACATTCTGCATCTGCCATTTATTAGCGGTGTGAATTTGAGTAATGTACTCAACCACGTCTTTACCTGTATTCCTCATCTGTGAGGTGGGAATAGTAAGAGTACCTTTGTAAAGGTAAAGGCACACTCATTGTGTGCTCATCTTTGTAAAGATGAGCACAAGATGAGCACAAAATAAGTGAAAAGCATTTGGGACATTTAGCCTGTCACATAGTAAGGGCTCATAGTAACTTGAGGTGAGTCATTTTGTTATCGAGTATTGTGAAGCAACTTGTGTAATTGAAAACCCGCAAATGAGTACCATATTGTGTAACTGTTTTTACGATGTTTTCCTCATGATGGAGTAGCCTTGGAAAGCATTTAGACAGTAAGCCCAGCTAGGCTTGCTCTCTACCAATACAATTACTTCGTGTTTGTAGAGAATGTAGTGTCAGGACCTAATCTGGAAATGACTCCAGTGTTTCCTCTTCTGATAAATGGGTTCTCAGTCAGCCTGCCCCAGACTTACGGATTAGGACTGCCAAATCCAGAACTGTTAATGCCCGGCAGTCCACTTAGGGTACCAGCTCTGTGTGAGATGGAAGACATGCAGGATCTGTCTTTTGCACCATCATATGTCTCTGGGTGGGGCAGCTTGCATTGAAAAATATAAAAAAAGGGTGAGGTCCCATTGCGTCCATTGGTGCCAAAGCACTCTGCTCAGGCATAGACCACGTGGCTATTTCATTTTCTCAGTTTCCAATTTTAGAGTTTCTATTCTTTGGAGCCTTTTGTATCTCTCTGTTAGAAGAAAAAAAAAGACAGTATATTGAACTAGCTAGTAAAATGACTAGAAAATATTCATATTTAAACAACTGGAAATTCTGTTCCAAGAGAAAAAAAATTGTCTCGTTGTATACATGTAAAACGCTCTGGGCCAGAACTCTGAGAGCACCACGGTGT